CATCTTCTACGTTTTCTGTTCTCTGTCAAAGTTGAGTATATATACCTGTAACAAGATCAGAGCTTCAGCCTCTTGTAAATTCAACCAGATAACTGCCACTTTTCCGCTGCCAAGCTTTCATTCAGTGATTCTGTGAACGCGATTCGGTTCTGCCAGAACACTTATATCTCCCCCCCCAAGCATGGGTGTTTGAATCAAAGCCTAAGTAGAACAGCTTCAACTCGCAGATATTCAGAACCTCGGAGCCCTGGCGCTTCTTTGACTAGAGTCCATGTCGATTTGGTAGCTTGCAGCATGATGAACTAGTTTCTGCTCATTTCACCTGAATGAGGAGATGTTCAGATTTTCGATTGTGAGTTCCCAAATGTCAGTATCGTTCCCGTGTATCTTTGTCTGACGTGCTATAATTGCATCAGGTTTTCTGCCTCCTCCGTTCAGTGCCCAGCGATTTCTTTTCTCACTTGTGCTTTCATGTTCGGCGTGTCAATCTTAGGCTGCCGTCTTCATGCTATTACGTCATCGGCAGCCATAGGCGTGGCGCAAATTCCGATGGCCGACTTTTTGCAGACACTTTCAGTTCTCCAACCGCTTGCATAGCGCTTGGTATCCCAGTGGGCGTCCGAACCAGTATAACGTTCGATAAGGACAACAGCATGAGAGCAGGTCAAGACGTTTGTGACTCTCCTCCTTAATCATCCAGGCTTGGAACCAGCAACGGTTTAATTCCATGTCTTTTATATCATTAAATTAAATCTGCGACCTTATATTAAATTATTTTCAATCTTCTGACTTGGCTTTCCCCTATGTATTTCTTCTTGATCTTATATATTTTGGTGTAAACCACCTGCCTGAATAAATTCTAAACGCATTGCAAATTGAAGCCTAAAATGACGACGTATTCACTCGAATGTTCGAACAAGTTTATTCATTTTATGCTCACTATGGTATTTGTTTTTTTAAACTTACTGCTTAATTTTAGCATGTCCCGTAAATAAGTATGGTCCGATGTGTAGCTTCGACTGCTTGTGCAAGAACGGTGGAACGTGTGAGCCAGTCTCTGGAGAATGCCAATGTCCTGCAGGTTTTTTTGGCGCTCTGTGCACTGAAGGTAGGTTGTAGAATAATCGACAAAGTTGAATTTTTGACGGTGTAACGTTTTAGAATGCCCTCTAGGCCGCTTCGGAGTCAACTGTATGAGTCTTTGTCTGTGCATGAACGGAGGTATGTGCAGCCCTGTAAATGGCAGCTGCACCTGCGCGGCTGGATGGCACGGTGCCAGCTGTGAAAAGGGTATGAAGCGTTAACGGTTGCTGGAGTATCGTTAATTAAATGCGTTCGATATTTAGTGTGTGACAAAGGCACATTCGGCGTAGACTGTGCACAAACGTGCAACTGCTTCGACGACGTGTCTTGCGACCCGGTTTCTGGCGAGTGCATCTGCTCACCAGGCTTGCAAGGGGCTCGATGCGATCAGCCCTGCGGTAACGGTACTTACGGCGCCGGTTGCATGGGAATGTGTGCCTGCAAGAACAACTCAACCTGTAATCCCGTGACAGGTATCTGTTCGTGTCCTCCTGGGTGGACAGGCATTCACTGCAATCTTCCCTGCCCTGACGGATATTTCGGTCGTAACTGCAGTCAGGCATGCGACTGTGGCACAGGTAAGATTGTAGTAGCCGAATGCCGTTTACTGTTCTACATTAATTTCATCTTTGTTAGTACCGGATGCGATGTTGAGCAAATGCCATCATGTCACAGGCGAATGTCAATGTCCACCTGGATGGACGGGGCCAGACTGTCGAACTCCGTGCCCTCCAGACCGTTGGGGAGACAGGTGCTCGGAAAAGTGCGAGTGTCAAAACGGAGGCTCTTGCGACCCCATTTCTGGCATGTGTTCTTGTCAACCTGGTTGGCGAGGTAGGACGTGTGACAAGGAGTGCACAATGGGACTGTACGGTTTCAACTGCGCCCAACATTGCCACTGTTTAAACAACGCAACCTGTAACCCAAAGACTGGCGAGTGCCAATGCCAGCCAGGATGGATGGGAACCGCTTGCGAGTTCAAATGTCCGTCAGGCTACTTTGGCACCAGCTGTCAAGGAAATTGCATTTGTAAGAACGGCGCGATGTGCAATTCGGTTGATGGCTCTTGCAACTGTCTGCCCGGATGGACAGGTGCAACCTGTGAAGAACGTTAAGTGACTTCTTCATTTATGTCTGAAACTAAGTCTGTTCTGTTTGTAGAATGCCCTGATGATCATTTTGGCCAGAACTGTTCCGAGATCTGCCAGTGTGAACACGGTGCTTCTTGTAATCACATAACCGGGTTCTGCATATGCAAGCCCGGGTGGCGAGGCAAGCGTTGTCATCGACCCTGCTTAAAAGGATATTTTGGAAGAAACTGTGCGCAAATGTGCCGCTGCCCTAAAGCGAATACTTGCGACCACATTACGGGATACTGTGCTTGTCCCCCTGGTTATACCGGTTCAACGTGTACTCTCTTATGTCCAGTAGGGAAATATGGCCAGGACTGCAACAATAGGTGCAACTGTCCTAGAAACTCTGAATGCGATGCGATTAACGGCCATTGCTACTGTAAAGCAGGCTACTCTGGCGAAGAGTGCAGTCCTGGTTAGTTTCTAAGAATTTTGCATTGCAGGCTTGAAAAATAATAATTTAGGCTGCCCTCAGGGAAAATTCGGTGTAAATTGTCGAGAAAACTGTACATGTGAAAATGGAGCCACATGCGACGCGGAAAACGGCAGATGTTTCTGCCCACTTGGTTTCATTGGAACACGTTGTGAACTCGGCTGTCCCCCTAATCGTTATGGAATCAACTGTGTCGAAGAATGCCACTGTCTAAACGGTGGCAGGTGTAACCCCACTAGCGGTCAGTGCGCTTGTCCCCCCGGCTTTACGGGAATCAACTGCCAACAAGTGTGTCCAGAAAACAAGTACGGACCCGGATGCTCTGAGACGTGTCGCTGTAAGCACGGCGGCCACTGCAACCCTTTAAATGGAAGCTGTCGATGTACACTCGGCAGAACCGGTCCTACCTGTGAGCAAGGTATTCGATGTTCTTACTTCGGAAACTGCAATGTGACTATTCGCCATTTTCAGAATGCCCGGCAAATCGATACGGCCCGGAATGCTCGCTTGAATGTAGATGCCAGAATAATGCTCAGTGTGACAAGATCACCGGTTGCTGCGACTGTCCAGACGGTTTCTTCGGCGGCATGTGCGAATACAGTACGTTTCGAAAATGTTGTCAAGTTTAGATCTCAGTGCAGATGTTCAGGTGTTCTGTGCTGAAAAAGCTATAATTTGATTTCAGTGCACGTCTTTATACATTATATGCGTTACAGTGGTATGCAAGACGCCGTGCTGACAGACCTGCTGTGTACTGGCTCAGTGCCACTATTTATGCCATTGTGACACTCATCTGCAGGTTTATAGCACAATGCTTGCTTCAGTTTCAGCAGTAATCAGGCAAGCGTAAAGATATACTGCATAATCAACATATTCATTAGACAGTGATTGCTCCTTTTATAGTGTTGGTTACTGTAGTGAGCATGTGAGTCTCCAGGCCCTAATAAGAACTGTTTGTGGTTTCTTTTTAGTCATGTACAGGTGGACCAATGAGATGTTAGGTATAGAAGGTTCCTTCCTAAGAGTGAATACATAGCCATCAGGGTGTCAGCTAATGACGGTATCTCTATGATCTCATGGGGGAAGCTGGTGCACACCTAGTGTTTTAAGTTTCATTCTTCTGTATGTCAAAGGGTCGCCATGAACTGAGATTAAAAGGGCCGCTATCCTATGTTTGAGTAGCAGTCATGATTTAATGCCTTCAGCGGAATGGCGTTGGTCAGTCAGTCGGTACACGGTCTTATGTACCACCCTCTGCGTATTCTGTATAACAATTTATGACAAATATACGTATATCCTCTTTCCCTGATTCATAGTTCCAGGTAACAAAACATGATCAGAATCATGTAAATTCCTTTATTCACCAAC